TAAGAATTCAACCGTTCTCATACTACTATACAATTTATTTTTTTTATAGGTTATTTAGAAAAACAAAAAATGTTTATATACTTTATAGGCATTATGAGGAAAAACACTATCGATTTCAATTTTCTTACTTATATGTTAATGTGATGTTAAATTATACTGTCTTTTATATTTTTATGATCTATTCAAATTTTTTGAATAATTATTTTCAATTAACCAATCACAAGAAGTACATTACATAATGGACATTGCCAAATATATCGAAAGTTAAAAAAAATAATATTTAAAAGTAATAGTGAAAAAAGATTGCATGAAAATTTTGGTTGAGAAATCTTCGTTATCTAAGTTAGTCTTGTTTATTCGAAATATTTTTTATTTGGGGAAGATTGATAAATATGAACAGTAAAACTAAATTAAAATCTTTTACATGAATAATTGCATATGATAGTTTATAATTTTTTCTTCTTATCTTGTTGAAAGGGACCATCCTTTGTCATTATTTTTATTAACAAAATATAGCAGTTGTAATTCAACTGGCATATGTTAGCAAAGTTTTTATACATTGTTCATATTATCTTCCCTTTTTCCAGTAAAATACTTTTCGTATGCTTTTTTTTTTTTCATTTGATCTAATTAATTATATATTTTCGTCAGTTATAAATATTTATTAATATTCAAGTTTTGGTTGAATTTCAGTTTTTTTATTTTTTTTTTCCATTCAAATACTATTATATTTTTCATGAACCATTACAAACATATGGTACACAATTTGATTTAGATTTCAATAATCTTTAAAAATAATTTAAAAACATTAAAACAATTATTTGGTAAATTGTATTTTCTTTTTTATTTTTTGCTTAATAAATAAAATTGATTTAAATTGAAGATTGTATAATGAGCAATAGTTTTGGCCTCCATGTTACATTTAATGCTAAAATAATTGTTATTAATAAACTTATAAAATTAAATAAATATTGTTAAGAAATTGATCTTATATACTTAGGGTTAAATAAACTCTTAAAATTATTGAGAAAATCATAAAAATATTTATAAATCTTA